CTCTCTCTCTCTCTCTCTCTCTCTCTCTCCCTCTCTTTTTTTCTCTTCATAATCCACGTTGAGAATACTGTGTGATATGATGGATTTTTCTTCTTCAAGTCCCAGGACTGAAACATATATTGAAGATCTGTATTCGCCACTCATGTCTCATTTCTCTGCATATTTACTGTCCTGTTTCTTTTGGTTTGGTTAAGCACAGGAACGTGTGAATTTCGATTGAAAGTACAAAGTCCGAAAGCAGAATGGAGCCTAATGCGGTGGGGGTTAATCTTTATCTTAATTTTTTTTTTAAGTTAAAATCTCCTGGATGGTAGGGAAAACACTTTCACCTCTTACTTTTTCTCTTATTTTAGCTGATGAATACTTCACTTTACGACGAGATTTACAACTGTTAAATTTCAGCACCATAAATATAAAGATACACACTAATCATTTCAAAGATATTCCGTCCATGAACTGGATTAGTCCGTGTAGTCGCTGAAAGTAGAAAGCATCTATCAAAGGTCCAATGAGTGCTTAGGTGATCATGTCAATGAAGGAAAGTGTGTCGTAAAATTTCAGCCCATTGTCACGGCTCGGAGAGCGAAGCCCTTTGTACAGTATTATTTCAAAAAGCCTTTTACTGTTTCACAAGAAGAGTTTATTAAGGATCGACCATGGGAACGGGCTCATCTTTGGCTGGGCCCTAAAGACATTTGATTGACTGTTACATTACTATAGTCGTAAGCCATGACAACATTGATGGAAAAAATGAGCAAGCCGCCAAGTTCATCACTCTGTGTTCATTGTGTGAAATCCCAACGTTACAAAGGCCTATTTTGTTATTTAAGAAACATTCATTTACTATGGAAAAAAGTTGGGGGAGGGGGGGGGGGGGGGATAATCCCTTCAGCCCCTCACTACACACTGCTACTGGAACTCATATAATTTATTCTTATCTATCTTGAAATCTTAAAAAGATTTGATCAGATTTGATTTTTTAAATAATCTTAATATGAACTGATTAATTGCTAAAGTAAGTCTCATTTCTATTATATTTTATTTTATATTTTATTTTATATTTTCTGGTACAGGTCACTATCTGCTAGCAAGCAGCTCGGGTCGGAAGAGAGGAGACGTAGCCGTTTGGTCCAGCGGTGTGGAGTATACGATCAGGTATAGTGCATGCCTGGACTTCTACTCCATCGTCACAGGAGACAACGAACTCAAGCTTTTCTTAGACGTTGATGACAGTCGAACCTTGTTGTACTCCCAGACGACTGGAGATCCAGAGCCACTGTGGAAACATCATCGCGTAGAGTTCAGTCAGGAGAATGGGAACCCTTACACCCAGATCTTCTATCAGGCTGGAGTGGGCGCCGTTGCCTCAGGCTATGTGGCTCTGGATGACGTGTATTTGTACAACGCGCCGTGTCCCCCTGACGGTGAGTTGTGTAGTCCTCTTGGACAGAGTAATTATGATTTAGCCTAACACAAAGGGGGAAATGAGAAGTGTTATTCATTAGGATGATTCTCTTGGACTAGTGGTCGTTAGAGCAGTTTCCATTGCATTATTGCTTGGACGCACGCCGTAGCACATTTAACCAACAACATGCGGATCCAATTCAACTACGTCGTTGATCTTTTTAAAGATAGAGACTTGTTTTTACACTCTCATCGACACAATTCACATTTTTGGAGGTGGGCGTCGACCCTTCCTTAATGGCCAACCAGGGCTGAGAGGGATACATCATACAACGTACTAGCAGAAAGGCCTAGCTACTTGATAAAAAATCGGAAATCGGACTCAGGTCAGAACAACAATGAAGTGCCTGACCGATACACCACAGACACTGGTAGACAAAAGAATAAGTTGAGTTATTTCAAATTATTCGCCGGTAGAAAAAATGTTGACCAGAAACAGTATGCGAAAGTCGTAGAAACTCGGAGGGTTGGTTATTTCTTTTTAAAAATCTCCTCAGCGTCTTGTGACTTTGAAGGAGGCACCTACTGTGGCTGGAGTCCCGAGCTCATGAACTCCTTCAGGTGGAGAGTGCAGCAGGCACAACAATCCCCTACACTAGCTCCGCCCATCGACCACACCTACCACACCACGGAAGGTACGCCCACTTTGTATTCTGATGTGACCTGAGCTAGCTAGAAAGTAAGAATAAGGATATAGGGGATGAGATACGAGTGCGCGTTAGCGTGCACACACACACTAATACGTAGACACGCACACACGGAGAGAGAGAGAGAGAGAGAGAGAGAGAGAGAGAGAGAGAGAGAGAGAGAGAGAGAGAGAGAGAGAGAGAGAGAGAGAGAGAGAGAGAGAGAGCAAGCTTCACAGGAGCAAACGATGCTGGCTCATCATCATGAGGTGCCAGATCTGAAATAGACATTGACGATCATGACTCGCCCCTCATTTCTTTTGCCCAGATGCTCTAAAACTCTTATGGTATCCCCTGTCTTTCGGCTTTCCCCGTAATTCGTCTGTTTAGATTTTCTAAGTAGTTGCTCCTGGTCTACCTCTGTCTTATCTCTTTTATTTTTTTTTCCAGTGAGAGCATGATGTTCAAGGCCTTCGTTTCGATTTAAGTGTCCAAGAACTACAGATTTCCCCTTATTAAAGAAAACAACAACATATGAGCTACCCACGCGGGTTCCTTTCAAACCTACCCCATTTGATTTTCACGAGATTCTCAAAAGTGTTCCAAAAACTACATTTCGTTTGCTTCTTAATTATTGTCACCATCATTGTTATTGTCAAAAGTTGTTGTCCGGGCAAGAAACTGAATATCTTACCAACTACAGTAGCACCAACTATAACTACAGCAACTATCACCACAGCAACACATTCATTACAGCCACAATCATCACTACCCTTTTCCTTCCATATCTTCCCCCTAGGCTACTACCTTTTCCTCCAAGGTAGCAGCAACAAAGACGAGGAGCCAGCGCGTATTTTGAGTCCCCAGCTGACCGCCGACAGTGGGCGTTGCCTCAGCTTTTGGTATCGCGGTAGTTATCAAGGGCCCATCCGGTCTCCTTCCACGCTCTCCACTGTCACGTCTTTGGCCATCAGCGTTAGGGACGAACGTGGTCTGGAAAATCCTGTGGTCACACTATCCCCTACGTCAGAGTGGTCACATGCCAGATATCCACTTCAGCGGATTAGTTTGGACAAATTTCAGGTGGATTTATCATAATATATAAAATATTCTTCCCGTTTGTGTTACAGTTTGTAAATTAAAAGTGTATAACTCTGTTGTGCAAGACTCTCTGCGCTTATTCTCCTTTCCCCAAGTCACACAGGAGTCTAATATTTATTGGGAAAGAGAATGGTATCAATGGTGCCATTACGAGCTCGAAACAGGTGTCTTTATTGCATTTTGTTTTATACATTTCCAATCTAGCCTTAACCAAAAACATGTTTGTGTGTATGTGTGTGTGTGTGTGTGTGTGTGTGTGTGTGTGTGTGTGTGTGTGTGTGTGCGTTTATGTGTGTTTATGTGTGAGTGTGTGGTGTTATGAGGTGTGGTGTGGTGTGATGTGATGTGTGTGTGTGTGTGTGTGTGTGTGTGTGTGTGTGTGTGTGTATGTGTGTGTGGGATGTTGTGGGATGTGATGTGGTGTGCGTGTGTGTGTGTGTGTGTGTGTGTGTATGTGTGTGTGTGTGTGTGTGTGTCTGCCCGCGCGCGTGTTTGTGCATGTGTGAGCGTTTGTGCATGTGTGAGCGTTTGTGCATGTGTGAGCGTTTGTGCATGTGTGAGCGTTTGTGCACGTACCAGCCCCTGTTTGACTTCTTTGTCTTCAGGTTGTGTTTGCAGGCACAAGCCATGACCCTTTATCTGACATAGCAGTAGATGACATTGAGGTGAGCTTACTCTAATATAATATAGTTATGACATATTGCAAAGACGTATAGCGCATAATCTGCAGCTACATAACTGCGGCGTTTACACAATTTGAAGTGCACGAGTGAGTCCTTTCGGCGTTTTCTTTTCTTTTATCTTATTGCAATAATTGTTTTGGATTTGAGTCTAAGGTAAACAAGAACATGAAACTGACACCCCCTCCTCCTCTCTTTTCTACCCTGTCTCTTATTACCCCCCCCTTCCCGCTCCCCCCTTCCCGCCCCCACCCTAAAACCATAAACCAACAACCATAAACCAACAACAAATAATAATAATAATAATAATAATAATAATAATAATAATATTAATAATAAAAATAATACCACCACCACGACCAACAACAACGCATAAAAACGAGCATCAACAAATCAAGTGCATCTAACCATGTACACACACAAAAAATCTGTTTTTTCAGAGAGCCAACAAACATATATTTTCTGTGTCATGTACTTGTGATTAAGGAATAGTGATGGTGGTTGTGACGGTAGTGGTTGTGATGATAATGGCGATAATGATGATAATGACGAGGAGGAGGAGCGGAGGAGGAAGTAGAACAGGAGGAGGATAATGATGATAAAAGATGATAGTGACGGCATAAATGATGATGATGATGATGATGATGATGATGATGATGATGATGATGATGATGATGTTGATGATGATGATGATGATGATGATGATGATGATGATGGTGACGACAGTAACAATAATACAAGTTTTATCAACAAACCCCATTTGTCTCTGTTGTCAGTTTCTCCCTAATGAATGTGATGACGTGTTCAGCTGTGACTTCGAGAACTTAGATACGTGTGGCTGGACGGGCGATTCGGTTCTCGGTGACGTCTGGCAAGTGGAAACAGACCCTGAGGACTACAGTATGTCATGTTTATTTTGTGTTGTTGTTTTTTTGTTCCTTAGCCATTTTTATCAAATAGACGCCATATGGTTAGTAGAAACAGGTGCGTATAATAATATTCCATAAGGTGTAAAATGTTAGCCCAGTAAAATAATGATTTGTTCGGACTGTAATCAAGTTTATCTTTTTGGGTTGAATGTCCAAAACCCTTTCTTTTTCAATAGATTTTCAATTGCCATACATATTGA